TGCCACTGCTGGCTCAGGTGGCCAGCTTTTATTCCCTTATTTGGCCCTGCCCATGTCCTGCTGATTGGTCCATTTTACAGAGTGCTGATTGGTCCATTTTGCAGAGTGCTGATTGGTCCATTTTTACAGAGTGCTGATTAGGGCATTTAGAAACCTTTAGCTAGACACAGAGTGCTGATTGGTGTGTTTACAAACCTTTAGCTAGACAGAAAAGTTCTCCAAGTCCCCACCCAACCCAGAAGCCCAGCTTGCTTCACCTCTCAATCCCTCCTTTAAACAGGACACCCCAACAGCTGTTGGGAATTGGGCAATGGCCACTCTAGCTACTTCCTGCTGGATAGGGGCAAAGAAGGAGCCCTGCAGTTGTAGTGTCCTTCAGAGGGGAACTCTTTAGGCCAGTGGAAGGGCCAGCAGGTCAGTCCAGGGGTCCTTGGTAGAAGTCATTATTTGAGCTCATTTGGGGTTCTGTTTGTGAGACCATCTGTAGCTTGATGGCCTCGATCCTAGAGGAAACAAATTTGACAAGAAGGTTAAAAATACAGAGCCCAAAGGTGAGTAATAGCAAGATGGCTGCCACAGAACCTAGAAAGGGGAGAAGCCATGTTGCCCAACTCCAGAGGTGGGTATAAGAGTTTGAAAAGTGTTGTCTGATTTCAGAAGCCTTTTCCTGTAAATGCCAGGCAGCATTTTGTACTATCCCTGACTGGTTAATGTAAAAACAACACTCTTCCCCTAAGAAGGTGCAGAGTCCTCCTTTCTCAGCAGTGAGGAGGTCTAGACCTCAGCAGTTTTGGAGAGTCACTGCTGCCAAAGAGTCTATTTGGGATTATAGAGTAAGGACACATTTAGTTATTTCTTGCAAACTGTTTGAGAAATCCTTTGAAAGTGTGTGGTAGTAGGATAATGAAGTAGATAAACTGGCTATTCCGGTTCTGGTAGCAATAGCCATTCCTAACCCTATAAGTAGGGGTATTAGTTGTATGACTCTGCACTGATGGACTTGAGGTTTGAGGGGTACTGATAGGGTCTGATTTCCTGGGGCAATGTTAATGTTGGGACTTAGAAAGACTAAGGTGCAGGTGCCTGTTCAGTTAGTGGGGAGGCAGATATAGGTCGACATTCCACATAAGAAGAATATACCTGGTTGGGTAGACAGAACTCGTTGTGTATGTTAAAATGGTGGGTGAGTTTGTTGTTTTCATTTTCCCATACTCCTAGAGTACTTGTCAAGGTAGCTCTGGTGAGTGGCTGGAAAGGGGTGTTGGGAGCAAACTGAATGGCTCCCTGTGTTCTGTTTTCCCATTGGAGAAAAAATCATTTTGTATCTACTAGGAAGCATTCGAGAGAGTGATTGAAAGAGGGATCCTGTGGCTTTACCCCTGAAGTCAGCAAGACCATGAACCCACTGGGAGGAACAGACAACTCCGAATGCACCACCTTTAAGAGCTATAACACTCACTGCGAAGGTCTGCAGCTTCACTCCCGAAGTCAGTGAGACCAGTTTCAATCACTCTCTCAAAGGCATTCACTAGTGGTGGGGGCGCTGCTGCAGGGAGTCCAGGGGTGAATGGTCATGCAGGGAGTATGTTTGCCATTACAAAACCTGGACTGTTTGTTAAGTATGGAGGAGGTGATGATTTTGGGGGGCCCTGAGAAGCAGACAAGCCATCTGAATGGAGCTGTTTGGGTGACTTGGAAGTTACTATGATCAGTTGGGGCTTGAAGTTGTAGGGTGTAATTACACTGATGGGGTAGTAGGTGCCCCTGGGGCAGGCCTGATAACAGGTTGCATTGGATACATAAAGGGGCTTGGAAAGTTAAGATAGTATTCATAGTTACAGGGCCATGTGTGGGTTTTTCATTGCTTGTGTAATAGGTGAGGTTGGAAATGTAAGAACATAAAAGTTGGATTGCACGTCCTGTTAGGGTATTCTTGGTCCTATCAGAGATGGGGAAGTTGGCTAATGATTGCATATTTAGAAGTCAGAAAGGGTCTTTTCCTTCATAACGAGGGTGGTAGGTTAAGTTGGTAAAGACCCAATTTTTTGCGGGAATGGAAGTGGCAATGTAAGCAGAGGTTGATAGAGAGGTACAAAGCCAACAGTCATTTGCCAGGGAAGGATTGGACTGGTTTAACAGAGAGTGGGTTAAGTTGAGAGTCTTGTAGAGGTAATTAGGAGCTAGTGGAAGGAGAGGGGTTATTGTATGAGGTATCCAAGGAAGCAGAAGGGATAGATAGGCAAAGAGTAAATAGGAGGGTAAAGACAGTGCTCTGGAAGATGAGATCATTTTATCCAGGCTGAGTTAAAGGTAGGAGTAAATTGCTGTCAGAAGGAAGGAAGATAGAAAGAAGGTTGATGTGATTAGGATTTTCATCCCAGCAGGAGCTACAGTATATAGTCCTATCACAAAGAGTATGGTTAGTATGCTACTTAATAACATGATGAAATAGTAAAAGGATTCCATTAAAGGGGCAAGGAGAGGTGTTAAAGATAAAGATTATGTAGGTTTTCCCTTATCTTTTTTAAGGAAGAAGGGGTTTTTCTTCAGGATCAGTGGTAGGAGCCTTTTTAGTCTGGGATGTTTCCTTCTGAAATAGGAGATGCAAGTCCTCCAATGGTTCGCAGGTGTATCAAGGCTGGTCTGGATGATCTTGGAATTCCTGAGCTGATGGTCCCTCAGGTTCTATGAGCTGCAGGTTCCTCAAGGGGTGTCCAAAATTTAACTCAGGTGTGGTGAATCCAAGATTCCACTCCTGCCACCTTAACTGCATGGGGGTAGAGAGGATTACCGAGTATGGTCCTTCCCACAAAGAGTCCATAGATGGGGAGGTAGAGGGGAGAGATTTGATCGACACTAGATCTCCTGGTTGAAACAACACTGTTTCCTGTTCTCTGTGACATCTTTCAGGTAGGTTTTTAAGGTTTTGTTGATATTTTGCCAAAGAAGTTATATCTTTGACCAAGTTGGCCATTTCCTGATCAAGTAGGAGGTCATTTGTGAGAAAAGGTCATCCATACAGCATTTCATATGGACTGAGCCCCGTTTTGTGAGGAGAATTTCGGATTCTCAACAAGGCCATGGGCAAAAGAGTAGGCCATGGGATATGAGTTTCTTGTGTTAGTTTCCTTAAGTGTCTCGAGTGTTTCATTTGCCTTCTCTATCTCCCCTGAGGATTGTGGCCTCCAGGCGCAGTGAAGGTGATATTATATCCCTAGCATCCTGGAAATTTCCTGAGTTATCATGGCTCTAAAAGCCAGGCAATTGTCACTCTGTAAGCTTTGGGGAAACCCAAATCTAGGAATTATTTCATGACTTAGTACTTTAATCACTTCCTGAGCCTTCTCTGTCTTGCAAGGGGAAGCTTCTATCCAAGTTGTAAAGGTATCAACACAGACCAATAAGTATTGAAATCCCTTTGACTTAGGCATATGGGTGAAGTCTAACTGCCAGTCCTCTCCAGGATAGTGACCTATTCTTTGTTCCCCCAAAGAGGCCTTATGATGGACCAAGGGATTATTCCTTTGGCACACTTCACAGGATTGACTACCTGTTGGATGGTCCAGAGGAGATTTGGCCCTGAAAATAGGGATTTGGCCGTTTGATGAGTGTTTTTCATACCCATATGAAAAGTTTGGTGGAGGGTTTTAAGTATTTTCCACTGGCTGGCTTCGGGTATAAGTACCTTTCCTTCTTCTGTCATTAACCACCCCAAGGGGAGAAAAGTATGCCCCCTTGAAAGTCCCCATTCTGTTTCAGTTGTGGAATACTGGGGCTTAATCTCTTGGAGGGGTTTTTTCCATACCAAGGGTCCTTTCGTAGGTATTCTGTAGGTCCTTCTGTAGGGGCAGTGCACCTTCCAGTGATTGCCTTGGCATGGTGGACATGGACGAAGGGGTGGCTTGTTTCTCATTGGACAATCTTTTTTAAAGTGTCCTTGTAAACCACACTGATAACAAGCTCCACCAGGTGATTGGCCTGCTCCATTTTCTGTCCTCTCTGAACCACCAAGGTTTGTCTGTCTGAGGGCCATCACTAAGGCTGTGGCCTTTCTCTGATCTCACTTTTCCTTTTGGGCCTGTTCCTCTTGGTCCCTATTATAGAACACCGAGGTTGCCAGGTTTAATAATACCTCCAGATCTTGTTCAGGCCCCAGGGCTTGCTTTGGAGCTTTCTCCTGATATCTGTGGCTGATTGGGTAATAAATTTATCTTTTAGGATCAGTTGACCCTCAAGTGAGTTGGGTGACAGGGGAGTATATTTTCTTAAGGCCTCCCATAGCCACTCGAGGAAAGTAGAAGGATTTTCTTCCTTTCCATGAGTTATGGTAGATATTGAATAATTCATGGGCTTTTTCCTAATTCTCCTTAGTCCTTCTAGAACACAGGTCAACAGATGTTTGTGACTCCAGTCCCTATGATCTGAGTCGAGGTCCCAGTGGGGATCCATACTGGGGATGGCTTGCTGACCAGTAGGGAATTTGTCCCTTTCTTCAGCTGTCATTCTATCATTTACTTGACTAAGATACCAAGTATCTCCAAACTCTCAGGCTGCAGCTAAAGCCGCATTCTTTTCATTAAAGGCCACAGTTTGATCTAACAATAGCAGAACATTTCTCCAAGTGAGATCGAAGGTTTGCCCTAGACCCTGTAGGACATCTATGTACCTATCAGGATCATCTGAAAACTTCCCCAGGTCTGCCTTGATCTGCTTTAAATCAGAGAGGGAGAAGGGGACATGCACCCGGGTTGGGCCAAATTCCCCTCCCCCTACAGCTTGAAGGGGACATAACCGATAGCCTGGGGGGTTTTGTGGTCCTTTTGAGATTTCTTTGCTTATTTCCTTCTGGGTAGGGGAGATTAGAGGAGGCTTATCATTAATAGGAAGGGGAGCTATAGGGAAGCTAGGATATGGATAAGCTGAGAGGTCCTCCTGTGGGGTGTAAATTGCAAGCTTTGCATAGTTGTGTATTCTCCTTCAATGAAAAGAAAGCTTGGACATAAAGTATTTCACTCTATTTGCCTTCCCTCTTACAGAAAAGGTCAAGCTGCAGGACAGTACTGTAATTTATATTTCCCTCAGGTGGCCATTTTTCCCCATCAGAGAGAAAATATCAGGGCCAGGCCATAGCGCAGAAAAAAATGAGCTGCCTCTTTTTCAGGGTTTGTAGGTCAAATTGGTCCCGATGACTTAGGATGCATTTCAAGGGTGAGCCTGTTGATGCCTGAGTGTTTCCCATCTGAAAGACAAAACCACCCACAGTTTTGATTTGTTTGTTTCTCCCCCGCCCAAGAACTCTCAACAGTCCCTGGACCCTGCTGATCAGAATATTTGCGCTCACCAATGCAGCAGCAGGAAGCACTTCTTGCCCAAGAACCCACAACAGTCCTGGACCCTGCTGATCAGAATATTTGCGCTCACAATGCAGCAGCAGAAACACTTCTTGCCCAAGAACCCACAACAGTCCCTGGACCCTGCTGATCAGAATATTTGCGCTCACCAATGCAGCAGCAAGGCACTTCTTGCCAAGAACCCACAACACACCAATGCAGCAGCAGAAACACTTCTTGCCCAAGAACCCACAACAGCCCCTGGACCCTGCTGATGGGAACAGTTGTGCTCACCTGACGCAGCAGCAGAAACACTAGTTTTCCTCGTAGACCACAAAGAGGACCGAGGAAAGTCGGATTTAGTAACCCTTACTGACACATCTTTGAAAACCTGCACTCTTGCCTGCCCTCCTAGACCACAAAGAGGACCAAGAAAAATTGGATTTAGTGGCCCTTACCAATGCCTTCTCGAAAACCTGTTAGAGTCCTAAACTTTGTCCTATCAGTATTGGGACTTTACCACTGTCCAATAAAGATGTTATGCCCCCAAAATGAAGTGGAGGGCCATACCCTGAAGGAGGGAAGGGATCTCCAGAGTTGGAAGAGTGATGCCTTTTGTCCTCACTTACGTGAATAGGAAGGATACAATTTCTGAGGCTCCCCAGGTCATAGCTTCAGGAATAGCTTTTGTTAGGCCTGCTTGTCTGAGGAGGGATCCTAAAATTCCAGATAAGATAGTCCCCCCCTGCTGACGGTGCTTTGGGCAAAAACTATGTCTTTCTGATTGGTGAGCCCGGGCGCCTAAAGAAGGTAAGAGAGTCCTGAAGTTTATACTAGAAATCATTCTTATAGGAGAAACTAGAAAAGCACCAGAGACGGGGAGTGGTTTTTAGAAGCAGGACTAGCCTCAGAGAAGAGAGGCAAGAGGAAGTTTGTCTGATAGGCATTAGGACTCAGGAGGCAAAGGTCAGGATAGATAGGATAGATGGGCAAGTCTCACTTGGGCAACATGACTTTGAGAGTTCTGCTTATGGCCGCAGGGTCAACCAACTTGTTGTCAGGACCCCAGAGCTGAATGGCTTTCCTCTCAGTTGACCCTCAGTACAGGAAGTACAGGAAGCTCAGCCCAGAAGTACAGGAAAAGTGGAAGCTGGTTCCGGGCAAACCAATGCTCCCAACTCCGAAGAGTCAGGGGTTGTTAGAGAGCCCTTTCCCAGAAAGCCTGACACCTGTGTCTTTAGTCCAGAGGCTGCATTAGTCACTTTTAGCTGGGTGACAAGTGCCCAGTATTTAGCTCCCGAATTCTAAGGAAAAATAGGACTGAAAAGCTAAAGGGGTCCGATGGTACTCACCACTTGGCAATAGGCGATAGTCCCTTCATGGTCGCCAAAATGTGTCTGGAATTGGTTCCTTCCTGTGGGTTCTTGGTCTTGCTGACTTCAAGAAGGAAGCTGCGGACCCTCATGGTGAGTATTAAGTTCTTAAAGATGGTGTGTCTGGAGTTTGTTCCTTCAGATGTTCAGATGTGTCTGGAGTTTCCTCCTTCTGATGGGTTTGTGGTCTTGCTGACTTCAGGAGTGAAGTCGCAGACCTCTGCGGTGAGTGTTACAGCTCATAAAGGTAGTGCAGACCCAAAGAGTGAGCGGCAGCAAGATTTATTGTGAAGAGCGAAAGAACAAAGCTTCCACAGCATGTAAGGGGACCCGAGCAGGTTGCTGCTGCTGGCTCTGGTGACCAGCTTTTATTCCTTTATTTGGCCCCACCCTTATCCTGCTGATTGGTCCATTGACAGAGTGCTGAATGGTCTGTTTTTACAGAGTACTGACTGGTGTGTTTACAAACCTTTAGCTAGACACAGAGCACTGATTAGTGTGTTTACAATCCTTTAGTTAGACAGAAAAGTTCTCCAAGTCCCCACCCAACCCAGAAGTCCAGCCAGCTTCATCTCTCACTAGGCTTAGTACCCAATAGTTATTTTTTCTGATCGTCTCCCTCTTCCCAACCTCCACCCTCAAGTGAACCCCAGTATCTGTTTTTCCCCTCTTTTTGTGTCCATGATTTCTTATCATTTATAAGTGAGAACGTGTGGTATTTGGTTTTCTGTTCCTGAATTAGTTTGCTAAGGATAATGGCCTCCAGCTCCATCCATGTTCTCACAAAAGACACAATCTTGTTCTTTTTTGTGGCTGTGATATGGCTCCGATGAATAGAGGAACACCAGGGTTCTTGGTCCTCATGCCAGTTTAGATAAAACGACATGGACACACGTGGAGTGGTTTTAAGGAGTGGAGAGTTTAATAGGCAAGATAGAAGGGGAAGGAAAGAAGGAAGAAGCGCCCCTGTACAGAGACAGAGGGAGGGGGCTCCAAAGCCAAGAGAGGGAACCCCCGGGGGGCAGAAACCAGTCAGGTATGCATGTAGAGGCTGGAGGAGGTGGTGTCTGATTTGCATAGGGCACGGGGATTGGTTTGACCAGGCATGTCATTCATGTAGCCAGCAGAAAAGCTGGCCCTCCCACCCTAGCCTTTTAATATGCAAATACAGGGTGCCCTGATGTTCTACAATATGGGGATATGTGGGAGCGGCCATGTTGCCAGGCACATGTTGGAGCAAGGGCAAGAAGGCCACGGGAATCACCATGTTTGGGTGGACCCAGTTTCTAATGACCTGCATTTGCATATCAAAGGTTGCCAACTGGCTGGGTGCCGTGGCTCGAGCCTGTAATCCCAGCACTTTGGGAGGCCAAGACGGGCGGATCATGAGGTCAGGAGATCGAGACCATCCTGGCTAACACAGTGAAACCTCGTCTCTACTAAAAAAATACAAAAAACTAGCTGGGTGTGGTGGCAGGAGCCTGTAGTCCCAGCTACTCGGGAGGCTGAGGCAGGAGAATGGCGTAAAACTGGGAGGCGGAGCTTGCAGTGAGCAGAGATCTGGCCACTGCATTTCAGCCTGGGCGACAGAGCGAGACTCCATCTCAAAAAAAAAAAAAAAAAAAGAAGTTGCCAACTGACTCCAAGAGCTGGGGCTTTCCAGCTAGACAAGAAATGACAAGAAATTTAAAAATGAAAACTTCCCAAGGATGCCTTTTCCTCTCTATGTGCCTAAAATAATTTCTAATAACTCCTACAACAGGGCTGCATAGTATCCCAGGGTGTATATGTACCACATGTTCTTTATCCAATCTGTCATTGATGGGCATTTAGGTTGATTCCATGTCTTTGCTATTGTGAAAAGTGCTGTGATGAACATCCATGTGCATGTGTCTTTATCGTGGAATGATTTATATTCTTCTGGCTATATACCCAGTAATGGGATTGCTTTGTCAAATGGTAGTTCTGTTTTTAGCAATTTTTTTAGGAATTGCCACATTGCTTTCCACAATGGTTGAACAATTTATACTCCCACCAACAGTACATAAGCATTCCTTTTCTCCACAACCTTGCCAGCATCTGTTATTTTTCAAATTTTTAATAACAGCCATTCTGATTTGTGCGAGATGGTGTCTCATTGTGGTTTTGTTTTGCATTTCTCTAATGATCAGTGATGTTGAGCTTTCTTTCATATGCTTGTTGGCTGGCTGCATATGTGTCTTCTTTTGAAAAATATCTGTTCATGTCCTTTGCCCACTTTTTAATGGGGTTGTTTGTTTTTTGCTTGTAAATTTGTTTAAACTCCTCACAGATGTTGGATATTCAACCTTTGTCAAATGCATGACGTGACACGAGAAAATATTTGCAAATATTTCCTCCCATTCTGTAGGTTGTCTGTTTACTTTGCTGAGTTTATTTTGCTGTGCAGAAGCGCTTACGTTTAATTAGATCCCATTTGTAAATTTTTGCTTTCATTGCAATTGCTTTTGGTATTTTTCTCATGAAATCTTTGCCCATTCCTATGTCCAGAATGGTATTTCCTGGGTTGTCTTTCAGGATTTTTATAGTTTTGGGTTTTACATTTAAGTCTTTAATACATTTTGAGTTGATTTTTGTATATGGTATAAGGAAGGGGTCCAGTTTCAGTCTTCTGCATATGGCTAGCCAGTTTTCCCAGCACCATTAGAAATAGAATACAAAGTCCTTTCCCCATTGCTCGTTTTCATCAGCTTTGTTGAAGATCTGATGGTTGTAGGGAAAAACATTCAATTTTATCTTTCCTCTTTCCACTCAGGGCTCTCAAATGAGGATGTTCAGTCAGTAATGCAGTCACTGATAATATCTCTGGCATTACAAAATTCTTTTAACTTATTAACTTATTATCAGTAATCTTATTAATTAATCTTATTGTTATCTTTTTTGTTTGTTTGTTTTATAAGTTCTATGTTTCTATTTTTTATAAGTCTCTAAGAATGAGACTCTGCCATGCAGGCTGGAGTGTAATGGCACAATCTCTGCTCACTGCAACCTCTACTTCCCAGGTTCAAGCAATTCTCGTGCCTCAGTCTCCCAAGTATCTGGGATCACAGATGTGCACCACCACAGTGGCTAATTTTTGTACTTTTAGTAGAGATGGAGTTTTGCCATGTTGGCTAGGCTGGTCTCGAACTCCTGGCCTCAAACGATCCTCCTGCCTCAGCCTCCCAATATCTTATTATTAATAAAGTGTCTTTCATTGAAGATGGGTTCTGTAAACTTGGAAGTGGCTTCTGTTATGCAAGTTTGGGTATGAGTGGAACAAAGAAAGAGGCTGAACACTGGCCCGGCCTTGCTCTCCCTTCCCTTCCCCTCCCTTCCCTTCCCCTTCTCCTGGTCAGTGTCCAGTGTTCAGTGGCAGAGGTGAACAACTACTTAGAGAATATGAATTTGAAGGGACATCAAGTTATTAGTCTGCCTCAGGCATCCACAAGTCTAGGTTAGTCTTACAAGATGGTTGGCACCAGGGGCAAATACACAAAATTCTTAAAATTTTAGAGCTGGGATGAATCTTAGGTTTTAGTTAAATTAGCTCAAATGACACTGCTCATTATTGGCAGAACCAGGACTGAGCCAGGGTCTCTGAATTCCTATTCCAATGCCTTCTTCATGATAATTTGCTACCATTAGTTGTGTGACCTTGGGCAAGTCACTTCACTTCTCTAAGCTTCAGATTCCCCATCTGTAAATGGATAAAATGATCCATCTCAAGTATTGTGATGAAGAATGAAAGTATGTAAGGTGCATAGAATAGATGAGAATAGAAAAGAGTAGGATAGTGCTATGGACTGAATATTTATGTCCCCCCCCCAACTCCAATTCATATGTTGAAATCATAACCCTCCATGTTACCACATCTGGAGGTGAAGACTCTGGGAGGTAACTTGGTCATGGCAGCAGAGTCTCATAAATGGAATTAGTTCCCTTATAAAAGAGGCTCTTTGTCCCTTTCGCCGTGGGAGGACACAGCTGGAAGCTACCATCTGTGAACTGGGAAGGAGGTCCTCACCAGACACTGAATCTGCCAGCATCTTGATCTTGGACTTCCCAGCCTCCAGAACTGGGACAAATATGTTTCTATTTTTTATAAACCACTTGGTTTACAGTATTTTGTTAAATAACCCAAATGGATTAAGACAAATAGTATAGTCTGGAACACAAGTTAGGATTCAATAAAAAGTGCTGATAGTGATGATTGATATTATGGTAAGACATGTCATCTAACTCTCTAACCAGGGAGATCAATATAATTTGGCTCCATCTTACTTGAATTAAAAATCATGATTTTTCTCCTACTTATCTTCTTTGGAATGCTATGTATATCAATCATACTTACTTATGTTTCTAAAAGCCTGAGAAGACACCAGTTAGAAGCTAAACAGAAAGGAAATGGAGACAAAAAAAAAACAAAACAAAAAACACTTGAGGCCAAGTGCAGTGGCTTACGTCTATAATCCCAACACTTTGGAAGGCTGAAGAGAGTGGATCACTTGAGCCCAGGAGCTGCAGACCAGCCTGGGCAATGTGGCAAAACACTGTCTTTAAAAACAAAACAAAAATTAGCTGGGTGTGGTGAAGCACACCTGTAGTCCCAGGTACCCAGGAGGCTGAGTTGTGAGGATCACCAGAGCCCAGAAAGGTTGAGGCTGCAGTGAGCCATGATCATCGTGCCACTGCACTCCAGCCTGGGCAACAGAGTGAGACTCCATCTCAAAAAGAAGGAAAAGAAAAAACTTGAAATCCAACTTCCAATCCATGCTGAACTTGATTAATGAACAGTAATTAGGCTTCCTCTCACAGTACTTTACTTTTCCTCTTGCAAAGCCAGAGATTATTCTGTTATTTAATGTGCTAGTGAGCTCTAAATGTGTGTGGTTTTAAAATGGCTTCTCACCATGAAGTGTGTTTTCCAGGAAACACGTTTTCAGGTCAGTTTTTACAGGCTCTCCTCTTATGTATGTCTTGCCATATTCCCTGTTGGAGGAAAAACTGTGTCCACAGTGATGAGCCCAGAGGTCTCCCATGAAGACAACGGTTTGCTCCACCTGTGGTCAGGTGGTCTCAGCAAACTCATTTGAGGTATCTATTATTTAAGTTGTTTTTTGGTTTTTGGGGTTTTTTTTGAGACAGGGTCTTGCTCTGTTGCCAAG